TAGACGGCGAAAGCATGAAGACTTCCCTCGAAGCCAGGGTGATGTTCTTCTTTCTCTGCCTGGCTCAGTTTTCCTGCATCCTGATGCCTTTTGCGGTGATCGCCCTTCTAAGCGTGGACCCTTGCATGCCACCCTTCCTACTTTCGATGTTTCATTGTACCGAAATCTCGTGGACGTCACCAGGAGCAGAAATCTTCGTGCTTATCTTTGAGGCGTGGATGGCTCTTCAACTTTTCACGGCTGGAACTCCGTGGGTATTTTATATCTTGTTTGCCGGCATTGTCGCGATTCTCGACTACTTTAAGCTTCTGAAAAAGGTACAGAAATGGAACATTTGCGTGTCACCTTACCAGTTAATCTTTTTGTTCTAAATTAAGTACTCTAAATTAAGTCCACTCTAATTTCCAACGAGTAACGTTAGCTTGGTTAAGACTAAACTTTAGTCAGGATTTAGTATAGGTTACTTGATATACAAATTAGGGTGAACTTGTTTTACAAAAGGGAAACATTATTTTTTAGAATCTACACTTCACCTACGACGTTTCTTATATTATTCTTAATTTTAGCCGGATTGCAAGCTCTAAAGCAATTGTAGACCAACACAGCTGTCTCAAGCTCTACCGCAGTATTCAAATTCTGGAAAAATATATGAACGGCTTCCTCATGGCGCGTGTCGCCCCCATGATGGTAATGAGCATACCCGCAATTCAAATCGCTTGTCAATACGTATGCATCCAGCTGCATAACGAGATACCAATGCCAGGGTTTCTCATCTTCCCCTTACTCTAGGTGGACTGCTTGTGTATACGTTTGCGTCCTGGGTAAGTAGTACTTCGACCAAGGTGCTGCAAACGCATGCCGGAGTTACCGTCCAGTTTGGCGGGAAGAGGTCCGTACTAGCGAGAGAGATCAGGGCGTGTGGCGCACTAAAGATCAAATTCGGCTCGAACTTTATCGACAATGGAACACCCCTCGTGATTCAGAACTTCTGTCTGAATCAGACCGTTAATCTTCTACTGATCAGTTCGGGGAGGCGACGAACTAATTGAATTGAAAGATTTATTTATGGTAGTGAAATCTGTAGTTACTGTAGTCTGAACGTAGTTGGAGCGGTTAAGATACATAAAGTTGGAAGATGCTGAAACGTCGTCACTCTGAAACATACCGAGTACAGAATATAAAAAAATAAATATGTAGGTAAACTGTCACATATAATTTGTAATTTGAACGTAAAATAAATATGTAAAATTTAGCATAAAATATATATTTTAATCAAATTTTAGGGTCTTTCTGAAATTTGATTGCATTATCGCTGAATACTATACAGAATACTTAGTAAACTTGACATAATCCTATGAGAAACAGAAAATTAATTTTTGCTCTTGCGTATGGATGTTTATAAATTCACCACAAAATCAACTCAGTTACTTCTCATTTAATTATCCCGCGATGCTACTGGATAAAAATGTATACCTCTAATTAAATAATCCATGCATTAAATAAGTTCTTCGGTCTTAAAATAAAGGACTTAACCTCATTTCTCAAAATTACTGTGATGCCAAACTTTCAGTTAAACAGGGATTACGATCTTCTTACCGATTTATCCAGCATGTGGTGGCATCCTAATTGCACATCCCGTCACCGGCACTTTGACGCATTATCATGAATCCAAATCAAATATTATTCCTGTCCAAACTACGAAGTGGAAAACATCGTGAAATTCATATATTACTATGGTTAAAGGGCGGAAGGTTGATAAAGGTCAAATTGGTAAAAACAACAATCGATCCAAATCGTGAGCCCCGATTTTCCTCAATTTAGCACAGTCATTGATTTGCAATTTATATTGCGTGGTATTGAGAAAAACTCAACAACTTAGGTCGATTGTTTCTGCGTTTCTGTATTAAGCGCCGTATACCTACGTTAAACCTTCACCAAGAAATTAATTATTTAAAAGCTCGTGGATGCTGAAATCTACTTATTGATTGGTTCATTGATCATTTGACGTGGCGAAGATCGATGCGATACTTTCTAATTAAACGGTAAGTGTATGTGGCGTTATCGCTGATAATTACTTATCACACCTAGAGGGTGTTCCGGAAGTAATGCAACTTTGGTCAAATGCACATATAAACTCAACGAATGAATTTTTTAAAGCGAAATTTTGGTCAGAAAGGGACAAAGGTTAAAGCTAATTAAGTTTTGCTTCCAATGGTCCGTACACCCCTTCCGCCAAATTTGGAGACGTTTTTGTTGGGCGCTCACAATTAGTGCTTCGCCACTGTTTTTGGTCACCTTTTTTGAGATTTTTGACCACATGTGTTGAAATAAGTTCAAATTTTTGACTGAAGTTTTTCGATTACAATATTTTTTCTAGGATAGGAACTAAAATTTTTCAATAGGTCTTGTATTTGGCAAATTTGGGAACGTTCACCTCTCCCATGTTAATTGCATTTGATCCGTTTTAAGGCGGAGCGTGATACTTTGGCTTATATTTAATTTCCAGTTTTGCATAAATGGTTTTCTTGAAGGTGGGAGAGTTGTACTATGTGCAAATAAAAGCATTTTGATAATCTGAGCAGTAAATCGTCTTGTACAGGACGATCAATTTTGGTTAATTTTAATTACTTCAGGTCAAGGATTTTTTCTGGCCTCCTGCTTGCTACTTTTATTTTACTCTTGACTATATTTATAAGCTTCTAGAACCTTCTAGGATTTGATGTCCAACTTCTAAGCTTTCAAATAATGTATGGTGTTCGGTGAGAACTTCAAGTACTTCAGCGAATTTCGCTCCGACATAACAAATTTCTATCTACACGAAGTTTATTACTTTCGGGGCTGCCACACGAATGTACCGACCAGATATTTTTTGCGATTAGTCGTTTTTTGCAGCTCATACCTTAGTATAACACAACAAATCGTCACTTTTGGAATTTCTTATTTTTTAAAGTGAACACAGCTCAACTTCTTGGAGCGCGTAACCACTTTTTCGAGGTAGTGGCAGACGATGGTTGCGAGTTGCTTGGTTGTGTTTGACCTCATTTTGGAACGGATAGAGATATCGACTTCTGGTTTTCGGATTCTACTAGATAAATGTGTGGACTACAATATTCACCCAATTTCGAATTTGGGGCAAATTGATACCCTTGCATATATGCATTTTACCAAAGTTGCATTACTTCCGGAACACCCTCTAAGAGCACCAATCTTAGTCAGGCCTGGTACTCAGGACGGGTTTTTCACTCGAAACGCCAGGTTCTTTAGTTTGTATTAAATTACTGCTTCACTGGAACACATGAATTTCACTATGAAGTGTACAAGATGAGAGTGTTCTTCAAATCAAACACTTAAGTTTCTTTTTCCCGCTTTCGCTTTGATATATTAAACAAGGGTCATTTTACTGATGAATTTCCTGTAAACGGTCCATAGCTTCTAAACCGTTTTTAATTTTGAACATCCGTGAAGAATTGCAAGAATGCTCAAACTTAAAATTTCCTAGAATTACAGCGTGCACGATATAACCTAGTGGAAAAAATGACGCAGTTTTAATAGCTGAACTATAGCCGTATTAACAAAAAAATCTGTCCTGGGTACTAGGCTTCAGATTGAAAAATTTACACAACTAAACCTAAATATATCAAAGCAGCGGAAAATTCATTCTATTCCATTCCATTCCACTCCTCACATTTCACAATATATTCCACCCAGTTTCTCCCCCTGATAATTCGTCATCTCAAATTATCCCGAATCTTATGTAGCGTTCCGTTCGAATTTGACACACAATCTGGGAAGCTTATCTTGGTAAAATCCCGTCGGCGGATACGCGTTACCCAAGTGCTCACCATATTGACGCTGACGTATTATGTCGTCCTGCTGTACAATTTTTTGTTCGGTCTCTTGTCAATGACGAAACGGTTGCAAGGAGTAATATTCGTGATTTGTTATACGATATTGGTGTCTTGTGGGTGGAATGTAACCCTGGACGTAGCTCCGATGCAAATCATCAATTCGATCGTGTCCTTCGAACGTGACCTGCTTAACGGTAACTTTGTAACCTCGAGGATATTATCAGATTATGCGTAACTGTTCTAAAAATAGTCTTTCATGCAAAATTCTTTGAATTTAAAAGTTGAGAGAAGTATTCATTTACTCAAAGCTTGAAGATAAGAATGTATTGATTATTCACTTACAATTCATTCTATCCCATATTCTCATTGGAGTTCGTAGTATACCCCATGCACTAAGAATGCGGTGAAAAACGAATAAAATTATTCATTCAGTCTTCATGAACAAATATATTCAAAAAATTGTGAAACAAAATTATTCATTTATTCATCAATTTAGTTATGGAATAAGAAATGAATAATTTATTCATTCTACATTGAATAAATGAATTTAATGGCAATTTTCCCATGCTCCCATGAAATTTAATGGCAATTTGATGGCAATTTTCCAAATTTCGTAGAAATAATACCAAATCAAAGTTTTTCAAAAGTTTATAACTTTTAGATGATGAGCGTATCACGCCATCAATCGAGGCGATATTGATGTCCATCTTTCTCTACGTGGCAGAATTCACCGGAATTGTGGCCCCTTTCGCAGTTCTCATTCTAATCATGATTGATCCATGCACCCCACCGTTTCTCCTCTCATTCCACGCGGGTTGTGCTGATATCGCGTGGATTTCGGGAGATCTGAAAATCTTCGTCGTCTTGTTCGAAGCATGGGTAACTCTGCAATTGTTCAGTGCCGGGGCGCCATGGGTTTACTACATCCTGTTTGCCGGAATCGTCTCAATTCTCGACTACTTCCAAGTTCTGAAAAGGTTACAAATTTCAAAATAATGCTGCCCTTTCGAGAGTTAATTCACGGTAAACTTTATATCAAGTAAACTATGCTGAATGTCCACTTGTCTATCCATACATATGTATGTATGTCCATCTGTCTGCCTGTTCGTCAGCAGGATAAGTTAATGACGTGGTGGATTAAGTATAGCTTACTTGACTTAAAATTGAGCGTTAATTTATTTTTGGAAAGGGGTAACATTATATATATTTAAGAGTGAACAATATTAAATCACTTCAAATCCAAAGGTATAACACAAGCAAATTCTACAAATACTTTGCATGAAACTCATTGATTAATGGAAAACCTAGGGGAATTCTGAATTCTGAAACAACAATCGTTCCTGCATCAAACTCTACCGGAGCGTTCAAATCTTGGAAAAGTATATGAATGGATTTCTCATGATGCGAATTGTCCCAACCATGGTCGTTTGTACGCCAATGGTTCAAATCATCTGTCAGTACGCTTGCGTCAAGTTTCACGACAAGATAGCGATGCCGGGCTTTCTCATATTTCCCCTTCTTCAGGTGGACGCAATTGGGGTGAACGTACTCGCTTATACACTGGCCTCATGGGTGAACATTAGATCGACAAAGGTTCTTCGAATGCATGTCAGACGAACGATCCAATTTGGCGGGAAGAAATCCTAGCTGGAGAGAGAGATCAAGGCGTGTGGCGTACTAAAGATCAAATTCGGCTCAAACTTTATCGACAATGGAACCCCGCTAGTGATACAGAACTTCTGCTTGGCTCAAACTGCGAATATGCTCCTAATCAGTGACGGGGGAATTACGAGAGGATGAAGTATGCATGCAAATAGTAGACATTTATTTAAGTACTATGAAATCCGTTGGGGTAAGTTAAGCTCGTTTAGGGTAAGGTGAGAACGAATTTCTAATGGTAACACACACCGGCACCACTGTCAAATTCTTGTTGCATAGTGTCACTCAACATGTAACGATAATCATATGGATTCTAATGAATTATTCCATTACTGATGGACAATTTGTAAATTTCACTGGGTGGATTTGACACCACGTGTGTCAAATAAATTAGTAAATTAATTTTAAAGAGAATAAACTCCATTATACTAAAATGTAATCGTAAGTATGTAAATACATATGTATTTACATCAAAATAATTACTTAATTAATTAATTCAAAATAATTACGGATGAATCTTGCCTCATGTCGTTATGTAAAATTAATTATTAAATGTGACGTAATGTTTTCGACCTTCCAAACATAAATTATCTAACTTGCAACAGTTGCATATTGCAGCTACGTAGAATAATGTACTGCGAAATTCAAAATCGTAAGGCATTCAAATATTTGGGCAATCTAATAATTCCTTCAAGACACTGCTACTATCTGGTCCGATATATGTACATATTGGTAATAAATGGCATAAAAATAATTTTGAAATATTCACCTTCATATTTTGGAAAAAAATAATTTGCCTGCAAGACAAGAAAATTGTACCATTAAATAAGTAATACACTGTAACTCTTATGAATGAGCCAATCTTCATTAATTTCCACGATAGACCAGGAACTGTTGTGGTTTGGGTCTTCCAGCCCCATACGTGCAGAGAGAGAGTAATCCTCATCCACGGCTTTTGCTACGTCAAATCCTAACGATGCAACATATCCAAGAACTTCTTGTCGAACATGTGGCGCAAGATGAAACTTGGTCGAAAGTACGGCCCAAGAAGCCTGAAAAATTTTCAATCAAACAATGAAAAATCAAATGTAAAAAAGTACTTTTGTCTCACCTGATCATCCTCCCAGCATGTTATGCCCAAAACAAAGTTGGAGTTGTCCGTCATGTGAAAATCAAATCGTCCAGCCTTTGCTGTTATGATACGAAATAAAGAAAAATATTACTTAATTACATACTGAGCCCACTGTAGCTGTACTTAGCGCTTATCTGTTTAACAGCTGGAGATAATGAAAATCTGATAACTGCATTGGATTCCTCATGCGATTTTGCATAAGAAACAGCAATCAATTTGTATCTGCTTGCAAAGCATACCAGCAGAGAAAATATTGAAACGACGTGGGTGGCGATAATTATTTACTAAAAAATGGGAAGAGAAATGGTGAATTTGAAAAGTGTGACAGAAATCGAACGTGCACTTTAATTTAGTCCAACTGACTATAAAAACGTTAATGGGGACCGCATCGACTAAGAACAGTCGAAAAATAATTTTTTGAAAACCTCTAATGACCACACCCATCGTCAAGGAGCTGAAATCTGGAATCCGAAGAAATTCACGGAATTCCAACGGAAACCGGTCTCACAGGTGACAGTGTCAATGCAAATTATCCAATGAGTACTCAAATTGAAGCTTGGGCTTATGGCTGTGAAATGTGGTACTTGCCACATCCTGACCATCCCTCAAAGGAATGCCAGATTAAAGAAATGCAGAAGTCACCTCAAGCGGTACGCTCAAAAAAAGTGAGCAGGATTCTTTTTACCGATGAGGAGATTTTCACATCAGCAGAATCTTTTAACAAACTAGTTGATCTAATCTTCCCAGAATATGTCAAAGACATCCCCCAATATAGTCAAAAGGTCAGAAAGTCACACTATCCAGCTTTTGTGACGATTTTGGCAAGTGGGAGCTAATTAGAATAATTCCTCTACATTTTGTTGAAAATGGGGGGAAGGTGGAGGGATAAAATTTCTTAAAATACGTTTTCGAGTCCGTGGTACATCCCCTCAATGGGATCCAGTTCAATGGAATCGATGGGACCTCTCAGCAGGGCTCAGCACAAGCTTATAGTGCAAAAACTGACCCAATCGTGGCTAAAAAACTAAATTCCATACTTTATCGCCAATTAGGAATGATCATCCTCCTTGCTGGATTTGAATCTCCGGATTATGAAAAATGGGTAAAGTTAGGGGCAAAGGTGTGTTCTGAGCTTCGTAGAAGTGTGAAAGCTTAGAAAAAATTTTTGACCTCGGAACGGAACAAATTATCCACGGATTCAGTGCGTGCTTGAGTCGAGTACTCGAGGCGGCGTCTTCAGCGCTTCGGTAGTGCGGGGAGAGAAAATTTCCAAAACTAAAAATTGTTTTCTAATCAGAAATTAACTGGCTTTCGACTAAAATTTATCAGAATTTCGTAACGCGAAAACTGTTAACGCTAAAGCGTTTTATTTAACGTACAGTTTCAGTGGGCCACCCTGTACATACAATCTTAGAATTCATGTTATTCTTTTGAAAACTGATGGCACTATGAATCCTACATTCAGTTAACTATACTAAATACAGTGGGCGTACTCACGACAACCTCTTATTTCGCATCGCAACTCATTTAGCAAACTTGCGAAGATCAAAATATGTCTGTCGTGAGGGGATTCGCAAAATATGAGTTCGCAAATTCCTCTAATCTCGCAAATCTATTGAAAAACACCTATTTTGGTATTGTTTCCATGGATTTCTTTAATTTCTCTTGCTGGCGATGGTGAGGATGAGTTTGCGAAGTAATTTTGCGAAATAATAACATGCCCATTTGCTGGGTAAATTTGCGAAAAAAATCCCATAGTTTTCCAGCAAAATTTTTGCGAAATCTCGCATATCTCGCAAAACTTCGCACGTTATGTTGCTATGCTCAATTTGCGAGATATGCGAGATATGCGAAGGTTGACGTGAGTACGCTCAGTGTAAACTTTTCTCTTTATCAAATCAAAGCTACTCTGGATTTACTACAGTTTGCTTAATATAATTCAAAGTGTATCCACTTTTCAAATGAGTAACGTTATTTTTAATAGTGCACTCTAACTCCGATTTTTGGGCAAGAGTTATCTGTGCAGGGGTAATAATTTCACAAAATAAATTATCTATGTATGTACGTCCAGACCACGGTGATTTAAAGTGGATGGAATCCGCATCCCCGGAAATATTATAGTTTTGCACTCTTCCGTAAGCGGAGACGGTATTTTCCTGTTTAAAGACGAGACATGAAGCTGGGTCGATTTCATGATTCGCTATGCGGGCCGCCTCCCTTTCCAGGATGTCACTTGCCTTATTTTTCAAAAAATAGCAGTAAATATTTACATCCAGTAAGTAATCTATATATCAAACTTTGTACCGTTCTGGTCGCATAAAGCTGACTCCACATGGGCAGGAAGAATTCCTTGACCGATCCAAACTTTGAAAGTAGCACATGGAAATAAGTTAGAATTTTTATTATAATAGCGAGATGTTTAAAATGTGGTTTATACATAGTACATAAATACATATGTAATCATGCAGATATTTATTTCTCGGGATTAAATATTGGTACCACGTGACATTAAAATTATGTATACCGATCCGTAAAAATCTACAAACGGATATGGTAAAACTTTAATACCGAGCCGTTGCTATACCGTATTACTAATCTATACAAGTTTGGCAAACTCATATACCTATGTAAATATATTAATATGACACCGCTTGGAATTATTTAAATACTGGATTTCAAAGAGTGCACATATGTAAATACTACATCTCATACTCTGCATACTACACATATTTCGTACTGTTTCCCTACAAGGACAAATTCTCAATCTTTAGCGTTTTAAGCCGGAAAATATTTAAGTACGAATTTTATTTAATACAAATTTATTTTTTAATTAAAATACCCATTTGAGATCCAGTCCTAACGAATTTTTCTTTGGTTGTGGAACGCATTTTCTTTCCTTCGTGGGCTCCTCGAGCAATCCAGCGACAACCGAGACGAGCAAAACTAGCAGAAGTAGTTTCATCCTTAATTGCTGCAAGAACTATTTAATTGCGAGATAATCCTTTCAAAGAGCAGAGTTCACAGGCACTGAAGGCTTGGCAAGCCATGTCAATGTGATTTAATCAAATATTTAACAAGTTTAGGGAGACGTTCATAAATTATTTAACGTAATGTAGAGGGGGAACAGTGGGTCTAGATAACGCTCCAATGATATTCTGCGTATAGTGCCCGTGTTAAAAGGAGTTATATAAAATCGGGATTTTTGCATTACACAATTTATGAACGTCCCCTTACCTTATAAACAAAGTATCTACATACATACATATGTACCTAGGTAATTTGATACAATTAATATTGCAATAAAAAATATAAGACTTGACTGCTCATTATTCATAACTATGTGTGTATGTAGATATAAAATGCTACTTATCTTATTAAAATTCAAGACCGAACGTACATAATGCCGAATACATTAAGAATGATAATTATCCATTACATACGAACGTATGTAAATATTTCTGAATTAAGGGGTGTGTGAGGAATCATTAATAATTCCAGTGCCTACGTACATATAAACCTTCACGTCAAGAAGTGTGTAAGTATTAAGTATGTACATATGTAGAGATCACACAGTCAAGGACGACATGGTCGTTAAAAAGATATTGTTATTACGTATCCATAACTAATGGTCATTTACACATTCCTTGATTTGATCGGTCCAATTTAATGACTGATTTACATCAAGTAACACTTGAAATAAATTGAGTAAAAAAACACCCTTAAAATATTGTTAAGTAAATTCACTCTGAAGAATTCGGTATTAATACATACATAAACTATACGAAATCCAGAGTAAAGTTAACTTGACAAAGTATAAAGTTTACGCTGGATTTGGTATAGTTTACTTATGTGAAATATGTCAAATTCAGGGCGAATTTACACTTCAAAATTGTAAAGCTACTTTAAAGAATGCGTGAAATATGCGCAATTAAAAGTAAAAATTATCATATGATCGAAATAAAAATATTTTTACACTTTTTCATGACCACAATTGTGACGACACGACTTCCTACATTTCCAGACATACATATGAATATTTATGCATTATCAACACAGGATTTTTGCACCATTTCTATTGCATATTTTTGTCTAGCGTATTTTAATGTAATTCATTTGCCTAAGGTAAAAATGGGACAAAAAGTTGTCCCATTAAAATTATAATGACTCATGTATTCCGTGTATTAATTTGTAGTATGGTTTTTTCAGAAAGTGAGTATAATTTATTGAGAAGGAATCTACTGCAAAACATAATTATAGATCATTTATAGATATGCATGTAAATTTTTTAATAAATGAAGAATCAATGAATTATTTTTTCCCATTTTTAAATACTGTTTGAACAGGTGCGTTCCAATATTACGGGGAAACATGAACTACGACAAGAAACGTTATCAGGCCAAGCGAGAAATGAAGCCAGGAAAATGGCATTTCTAAGTCCATCGAGCAGGAGGGTGGAATCTTCTCCAACTTGAATCCCGCCTTGAGACAGCTGTGCTCCAATGTACGGGAATTAATCTCACATTGCCCCGTTGAATGCAGGAACCGCAAATTTTTTTAATTTTCCCCCCTCGCTAGGGGTGAAGTCCCATTTTTGAAACTGATGGGGTCTCGCCCATCGGGACTGTCCCAGGTCAAGGTGACGTTCCCGGTGGAAAATTCCTGCGTGTTGTAAATATTGAGAAAATACTCGGAAATGGGTCCGTCATGCCGGGATGGGGACAAGATTAAGGTGGCAGGCTGCCTTCGAAGGACCTGAATTTAATGGGAAAAATGAGAAATTAGACATCATTTATTTGCGAAATATAAAGATAAATACTAGAACATAAGCCCCACGAGAAAGAGATGATTCTATTCAGAGGTCAACGTCCACCAATTTTGCGGCTTCAACGGCGGACCCAATTTTGGAGGAATTCCCAAAATTCAGCGCGGCCAGCTAATATTATCGGAATGGGAAATCAGATTTATCTGTGCGTAAAATCTTACCAGCGGCGGCGTTGACTCAATGGGGTAAAAACTCTTCGGTGACATACTGTATGTATGGCCCCGTTTACTTACACTTCCATCCTTTTAAAGCCAGGTTTCGTCCCTACTTTGATTTACCACGCGGATAAAAGAGTCCGTTCCTAGGGTCGGTTTCCAAATTGTAATTGGAGAGTCGGTTCCCTTAATTGCCTCAACATTTTGCACGGTTGGGCCCCCTGTTAACAAAAAAGGTGGAGGTTGAGAAACATGCAAATTTTCAAAAACGCGGGAATGACCAAAATCTCTCTTCAATGGTTTTTTAACTAAATAACTAGTCTCTTAAGCCCGCAGTGCGGGCTCTAAGCAAAACGATTTTATTATTTTATTACGAAAAACGTTCACTCACGACCCTATGGGCGTGACCACGAAAAACGTTGTCACGACTCTAATTGGGTGTGTCCACGAAAAACGTTGTCACGACTGTAATTGAGTGTGGCCACGAAAAACGTTCAGTCACGACTCTAAATGGGGGTGGCCACGAAAAACGTTCAGTCACGACTCAAAAGGGGGATGACCTCGAAAAACGTTAGGTCACGACTCTAAAGGGGGTGACCACGAAAAACGTTAGGTCACAACTCTAAAGGGGGTGACCATGAAAAACGTTCAGTTGCGATTCTAAAGGGGGTGTCCACGAAAAATGTTAGGTCACGACTCTTAAGGGGGTGACCTCGAAAAACGTTAGGTCACGACTCTAAAGGGGGTTACCACGAAAAACGTTAGGTCACAACTCTGAAGTATGGCATTGTTCTAACGTTTTAAGTACGTTTAGGCACTTAAACCAAAAGCCCGCCCTCTAGCGCTGAAAAACAGCCAACATCCGATAGGTGGCGCTGGTAGGTAATTAAAATTAGTAAGGCACAGGTCAAGTGTCAACTTTGCCGTGGGGCACAGAGGTCACAGGTCAAGTATAGTGGATGTGCCCAGGTCACAGGTGAAATGTCAAATCTAGTGGGTGTGCCCAGGTCACAGGTGAAATGTCAAATCTAGTGGGTGTGCCTAGGTCACAGGTGAAATGTCAAATCTAGTGGGTGTGCCCAGGTCACAGGTCAAGTGTAGCGGGTGTGCCGAGGTCACAGGTCAAGTGTAGCGGGTGTGCCGAGGTCACAGGTCAAGTGTAGTGGGTGTGCCCAGGTCACAGGTCAAGTGTAGCGGGTGTGCCGAGGTCCCAGGTCAAGTATGATGGGTGTGCCCAAGCCACAGCCACAGGTCAAGTGTCAACTCTGTAAAGTGTCAACTTTATGGGTTGTACGCAGGTCGCAGGTCAAATGTCAAGTCCAGGGGTGTGTGCCAAGGTCACAGGTCAAATGTCAAATCTAGTGGGTGTGCCAAGGTCACAGGTCAAATGTCAAATCTAGTGGGTGTGCCAAGGTCACAGGTCAAATGTCAAATCTAGTGGGTGTGCCAAGGTCACAGGTCAAATGTCAAGTCTGGTGGGTGTGCCCAGGTCACAGGTCAAATGTCAAGTTTAGGGGGTGTGCCCGTTCATTTGATCAAGTCTCGGCAGATCTAAAGGGTGTGTTTCGTTGTTCTCGTGTTCGTCAACGTTTTGACACTTTAGCGAAAAACGCCCTCTAGAAACGAAAAATGTAACATAGTGCCCCACCTGCCGCTAGGTGACATTAGCTTGGATAATGTGAGACACGTGTGTAACCAAGCGCCAAGTTCAACTGGTAACACACACCACTGCACAATTCTTGGTTCTGATGTACTAGTCTCCGTAGCCCGCTTTGCGGGCTCTAGGCAAACATGAGGCTTTATTTCATAAGGTAGAAGCGCCTTCCATGTCACCGTCAAGTTACAACTCTAAGGGCGTAGGTCAAAGGTTAAGTTACAACTCTAATGTGTAGGTCCCAGGTTGAGTAACAATTTTAAGGAATGTGCCGAGCTTAGAGGTCACGTAAATACTCCACGGGTGAGAATTTCAAGTCTCGTCCAATTCGGGGCGCCACTGGTTGTTCTGGTGTAGGCAACGTTTTGAGAACGTTTTTGTACTTTCGGCGAAGAACGCCCCCTAGCGCCGAAAAATGCAAAATGGTTGCTCAAAGTTCCGCTAGGTGGCGTTGGCCGGTAACTAAAATAAATATGGGGCAATGTGAGACTCCTGCGAATATTCAAGCGCCAAATTCAATTGTGGACACGACCCACTGCACAATTCTTGGTTGTGATAGGGGACTTTCATAAATTATGTAACGTTACATATATAACGAAAAAATCTGATTTTAAATTATATAATTTATAATCACCACTACATCAAAATAAATCACTTTGCATTTGTCACTTCGCAACAAGCACCATTTGAGAAAATAGTGAATAAAAAAATAAAGTTTATCTCGTTTAGAAATCAAATACGCAAATCCGAAATAATGCCAAAAATTGTTACCCAGCCGGGAATCGAACCACGGCTCCCTTGAATTCATGTCAAGTGCTCTGACCTCTGAGCTACTAGGGCAATTAGTAACATTATAGGGACTTTTACTGATATTTGTTTGTGGCCTTTTTCTGTGAATTTCTACTTTCTTTTACGGTGGCAACGAACTGTTGCCTACCAAATTTTATCTCTTTTCAATTACCTGGTGTTTCCTGAAATTTTTCGGACGTACCAAACCCTGGACGGATTTCTGTCAAAACATTGATCAATTTTGTATTAAATATTTTTAGACAAAAAAAATTCATAAAAATTTTACATCCAGAATTTCACTCACCATTTCGAACCACCAGTCTGGGATCGTCCCATTGCTGCACTAGATCGAAACTTAGGGATAAATCTTCTCCCTCCACCAGATTTGCAGATACCCGGGTCAAACTGATGGTCACCCGGGTTTCATTATTGTCACTTGGAGGAGGAGAATCTATTTCATAACTTGACCAATGTGCAGCCTCCCACGTGGCGCCGTCGCTTGAAAGGTGAATCCTAGGTTGCCACGAGTTCTGAAGGTGGCCAAAAGCCAGATAGGCTACCAGGACTGTCGTGAGTAGTATGCCACGTAGAAAAGTGGGGCCGTCCATAACCTCTGGGGGAAGGGAGGCGACTCGTGGACGCGTCGTGGGTGATGGTGATTTAGATTTTCTCAACAGGTCGAAAAATTGGAATAAGTCTTTGGGAAATTTCGAAATTTCGAATCTTTATGGAAACTTATACATAGGAAATATTTGAAAATTTGGGTTATCTTGTACAAAAATCTGGGCTGAATTTGAAATTTTAAATTTATGTGGAAAAGGTTTAGAACTATTTTACGAGAGGTGAGTTTAGCTGGCTGTGTGGAGAAAGAATGCACTGTGGGAAGGAGGAAGGGTACCTTTTCAAGGGTCAAGGTGACCCTTTACTTGGGCAGGGTTTTAACCGCCTACATATCTATTTAAATAGTCTAAACTTGTACCTATCCTCAGATATTTAGATATTTATGTATGCCGATCAATATAAGTTAAACCTTTTTTAAAACTTGCTACTCAGGAAGTTTGACCCTTTATGATTGAGATAATGAGGGTATTCACAATTATGCATATATAAATACTTAATTCGTTAAATTCTTTTTGGAGAAAAAAGAGGGGGTCAAACATCTAAAATAGGTACAGCCATAGTAACACGACTTTTGCATACTTACATTTATTAAGTAGCGTCGGCTACGTATTGTGATCGTTTTGTCTGTCTGTCTGTCTGTCTGTCCGTCTGTCCGTCTGTCTGTTTGTCCGTCTGTCTGTCAGTCCGTAAGCAGGATATCTCCAGAACGAGTCGACATAATCAAACCCCGTTTTCGACATTGTGTTTCTAATTTTTAGTTCTCGGTCGAGTTCGAAAATGGGGTCAATCGGAACACACCCCACTGCGCCAGGGGGTGTGGTCCAAAATTAAATTCACGTTAATTTTCATATGGGGTATCATTTTAAAGGAAATTCCACTGTGAATTCGAAGACATTAATATTTTTGACCTTATGACCTTGAGGACGAGGTCAAAGGTCAAAAGATACATAATTGTCATATGGGGTGTCATTTGAAAGGAAATTTGACTGCGATTTCAAGGACGTTAATATTTTTAACCTCATGACCGTCAGGACGAGGTTATATACGGAGAAACGTTAAAGGAGACTGGAATCGCTCTGACGCTACCTATTTACATTCGTTTGGAGGGTTTATTTCATTACACGAAAAATACTACTAACGATTTGTATGAAGTAGTCATGATACCCTTACTGCTTTTCTCGTTATGTACGCCACACGCTAAATATATGGAAACTATTAATATACATTATTATAAAAAACGCACTTCTTTATTACCCATTACGAATAAAAATATCGTCTTGATTAAAATTTGTTCATACATTTGAAGTACGGGTGTTCATCTACATGTGACCCCAATATTACTAGGATACATAAACTACGATAAGAATTATCAAGCCAAGCGACAAATCAAACAAGGAAAGTAACCGATCCAATTCCTTTTTGGAGGAGGTTGGAGTTTTCTCCAGCTTGAAACCAACCTTGAGACAGCTTCGCTTCAGTTGTGTGGCGGAATCAGGGCCGTACGTCATATCACAGTGCCCCGTGGAATATAGGAATCGGGAATTTTTTGAATTTTCCCCCATAACTTGAGGTGACGTTTCATTGTTGAAACTGATAGGGTCAGAGCTGTTCCAGGTCAAGGCGACCTTCCCGGTGGTAAATTCTCGGGTTGTAAAAATTTTGAACAAATACTCGGAAGTGGTCTCGTCATGCCGGGATGGGGACAAGATTAAGGTGGCAGGTTGCCTTCGAAGGACCTGAATTTAAGGGGAAAAATGACAAGTTAGATATAATTTATTCACAAGTACTAGCCCATAAGCCCGACCAGAGACGGGTGAAGATGATTCGATTCAGAAGTCAATACGGGCTAAACTTTGTGCACATTGATCACATTCCTCATGTAAGACCCCTTACTTACCCTTCCATCCTTCCAGAGCCAGGTTTCGTCCCTACTTTTATCCACCACGCGGATAAAAGAGTCCGTTCCAAGGGTCGGTTTCCAAATTGAAATTGGAGAGTCGGTTCCCTTAATCGCCTCAATATTTTGCACGGTTGGACCTTCTGTTAACAAAAATTGGAGGGTTGAGAAGCATGCATGTTTTAAAAGGGCTTGAAAACCAAAATGTCGCGTCTATTTTTTTGGCCTAAATACTGTATATGGGCCATTCTTAAATTATGTAACGAGAAAGGCGGGTCTAAGGCTCCTATGATATGGAGCGTATTTACATATGTATTTACATATATGTATATATAAAAATAGGCGGGGGCCTAGAAAAATCCGATTTTTTCGTTATATAATTTATGAACGCCTGCATAACAAAATTCATGAATTTGCTCCCGTCAACTAGCCACAAGTCCAACCTACAGTATGTAACAAAAGTATAGCTACGATGACATATTTTTTATCTCGACATGATGCTGTAATATTTCAACTTTGAAACTCCGTACAAAAATGTCAAAACTATCTGCCGACAATTTCCTCGTCGCCGATTTTTAATGTCGCAGATAGGTCAAAGGTCAGGATTATTTTTCTAAAACAATTTGAGGCGTCGAAAAAAAAACTTCGTGGATATTTTTTTTTGAACTTTGCAATATTTTTTACTGGATACGGCCTGCGCTTTGAAGAATAATGAGCTTTGGTCGGACCGTGTACGATTTTTTTGGCGCCCACAGGAATTTTTAGCCCAGGACAGGTTGGAGGTCTAAAATCGCCGCCTCGGCGAAAATTAAAAAACTGAAATATACGTTTGCATATAGAGGGTCCGGATATGCAAACGTATATTTCAGTTTTTTAATTTTCGCCAAGGCGGCGATTTTAGACCTCCAACCTGTCCTGGGCTAAAAATTCCTGTGGGCGTCAAAAAAATCGCACACGGTCCGACCAAAGCTCATTATGCTTCAAAACGCAGGCCGCATCCAGTAAAAAATATTGCAAAGTTCAAAAAAAATTATCCACGAAGTTTTTTTTCGACGCCTCAAATTGTTTTAGAAAAATAATCCTGACCTTTGACCTATCTGCGACATTAAAAATCGGCGACGAGGAAATTGTCGGCAGATAGTTTTGACATTTTTGTACGGAGTTTCAAAGTTGAAATATTACGGCATCATGTCGAGATAAAAAATATGTCATCGTAGCTATACTTTTGTTACATACTGTATATACTAAATTGTGTCGTTAAGCTAAGCAGCATTTGAAAAATCTTTTTTGAAATTATAAAATTTTAAAATACAATTTTTTCTCTTCGAAAATCTTGTAATTACCTGGTTTTTCCTCCAATCTCCCGAGCATGCATGTGAAGAATGATATGCACAACGTTGAACGAGTTTCTATCAAAATTTCTATTAGTTTTGTACCCCTTACTGGCAATTTTTTTTACATAGGTACAAGATTTTCATAAAAATTTGAGATAAAATTTTCACTCACTATTTTCCCCACCTCGAACCACCAGCCTTGGATCACTCCACTGTTGCATGAGCATGAAGCTTAGGGACAAATCTTCTCCATGAACCAGTTTTGCAGTTACCCGGGTCAAACTGATTATTACCCGGGTGGAATTATTATCACCCGAAGGAGGAGAATTTACGTCATAACTTGACCAATGTGCCGCCTCCCACGTGGTTCCATCCTTAGAAAGGAGAATCCCAGGTCGCCCCGAGGTCCAAAGGTAGGGCGAAATTAGGCAGACTAGCGCGATTATCGTGAGTATTAATGCTAAGAGGACACATAGAAAAGTGGCGTCGTCCATAACCTCTGGGGGAGGGAGGGGAGCGGTGTTTTGCAGACGCCTTGGAGGCGGTGGTGATTTAGATTTTCTCAGCATGGCGAGAAATCGGAATGCGTTGTAAATATTGTGTGAAGTTGGGAAATTTGAAATTTTTATGGTAACTTTGAACAGAGAGAATTAAAAAAAAATTTAGTTATGTGGTAAATCTTGTGTGAGGTTGAGGGAACTGCAAATTTTGAATTTTTATAATAGCTTGGAACTTTCGAAAAATTATGTTGGGTTGTAAATCTCGGGAAAATTAATTAGAAATTGGGAATTTTTGTGGTAATTTAGAACATAGGGAATATTTTCAAGTACGAGAGGTGAGTTTAGGTGGCTGTGCGACGATATTTAGAATGGGCTGTGGGAAGGAGGAAGGGTACCTTTTTAAGGGTCAAGGTGACCCTTCACTTGGGCAGGGTTTTAACCGGTTACACATTAGCATGCATATTCAGTCCAAATTTGTCCTAATCCTTAGAGATGTATGTATGTATTTATGTGGGTTTTATGGGGTGGACGATATATGTATCTATGTCTCTATGTTCATAGGCATACAGTGTACCAAACAATTGAGTGCACGTTAACGTTTTTTTAATTACGATATGATGCCGTGTACTTAGAGCTTCTATGCTCCGCTTGCATTTGTATAAACTCATAGCCGAATAATTCCGCGTCGCCGATTTTTAAGGTCACCGAAAGGTCAAGGGTCAGAATTATTTTAGCAATTCAAAAAAGAGCCAAAAAATAAAACTATGGATAATTTTTTTTGGACTATCTAATATTTTTTTGTTGGAAAGCACAAAGCCTTACGAAGAAAATGAGCTATCGTACGATCGTGTACGATTTTTTTGACGCCCACAGGAATTTTTCGCGAAAACGGTTTTGAGGCCTAAAATCGTGACCGCGGCGAAATTAAAAGAATTGAAATATACAAAAGCATATTGAAAGTGCATATGTGCTTTTGTATATTCCAAATAGTTCAATTTCGCCGCGGTCACGATTTTAGGCCTCAAAACCGTTTTTGGCGAAAAATTCCTGTGGGCGTCAAAAAAATCGCACACGGTCGTACGATAGCTCATTTTCTTCGTAAGGCTATGTGCTTTCCAACAAAAAATATTAGATAGTCCAAAAAAATTATCCATAGTTTTATTTTTTGGCTCTTTTTTTGAATTGCTAAAATAATTCTGACCCTTGACCTTTCGGTGACCTTAAAAATCGGCGACGCGGAATTATTCGGCTATGAGTTTATACAAATGCAGGCGGAGCATAGAAGCTCTAAGTACACGGCATCATATCGTAATTAAAAAAACGTCAACGTGCACTCAATTGTTTGATACACTGTATATGTAAGTTAAACCTTTTTTTAAGGCTGGCAACTTAGGAAGTTTGGTACATATTTAGTAAATCATATAATGAGGGTATTCAAAACTGTGTATAGATTCTAAAATACTTTACGAAGAAAAACGAAGGGTCAAGCATCTAAAAAAGCGCAACCTTAATTAGTAACACGACTTTTACATACTTACAGGATCATGCCATATGTATCACGCCGTAACGTATTTATTTTATTATACGAAGAATACTAACGATATTTAAGAAGTTGTCATGAATACCCTTCATTCTTTTCTCGTTATGAAAAACATATAGCAACACATTAAATATGTACATTGGATGTATTGAAACTAAATACAAAAACGGATTTCTTTTAATATGAAAGATATACATATGTACATAAAAATCTTCCCGATTAAAATTTGTTCATATCATGTATTTCCCATCAAATTTGAAACAGTTGTTGCGTTAAATATTTAGCCAGGCTGTTTTACAAATTTTGGTATGATGCAGTTATATTCTGAGAAGCAAATAAGTAATAGTGTTTTCAAACCTAAAATTAGAAATAGAGCGACACACATAAAAAAATCAACAAATATTTTTAAAACAAGGTTAAAATCGGAAATGCAATTTCCTTAAAAAAACGGTACGTTGGGATCCCTGCATGTGCATGGAAGTCGTTAATGAGGTAAATCTAAATTTAACCCACTAATCCCAAACTACGAAACGAAGCCAAATTCCTGAAAGTATTTACATAGGTATATACATACACTGTTAATAATCCGGTGGAGTAATATATCAACTCCTTAGTGGTACTGATTTGGTAACAAGTTCCTACCGGATTAGTATTAATAGTTCGTTTCTGAGTGGTAAATTTTTTAGTACCACAAGACTACTAAATGGTCGTTATTACCGTGCTGGTAGAGCCATATACATAGACTCCGGACCGGAGTCTCCGGTCCGTGATGATTTACCATTTAGTATTTGGGTAATAAAATTATGCATATTTTTAAATTTTGAATAAATGAAGAACATAGGAATAATTTTGTTTTTCCAAGTTTTATTATTTTTTGAACAAGTGAGCATATATCCACGATCCCAATATCAAATATTTAGTAAATTCAATTTATTTAGAAGGAATCGAATGCAAAACATAATTATAATTGATACATAAATATTTTCAGATTTTGAACAAATGTAGAATTAATGAATATTTTTTTTTCCAATTTTCTATATTTTTGAACAGATCTGTATTACAAATACTTGAATATACAAAATGTCATAATAGACATTAATATGCCTTTGCATAAACCTTCCCAGTAACACGTCACGCCAAATTCTATTGGGATAGAGGGTGAAATCTTAAAATCCACCTTGAGACAGCTTCGCTTCAATGAATTCAGGCCGTACGTCATCTCACAGTGCCCCGTGGTATGCTGGAGGCGGGATTTGTGCGAACTTACACCCTCAAATTGGGGTGAAGTTCCGTTTTGGAAACTGATAGGGTCCCGCCCATCCGGACTGTCCCAGGTCAAGGTAACCTCCCCGGTGGAAAATTCCCGCGCGGAGAAGATATTGATAGAATACTCGGAAACATATCCGTTATCCCGGGATGGGGGTGCGGTTAAGGTGACGTGTTGTGTTCGAAGAACCTGAATTTAGAGAGGAATTGGTGAATGAGACATTATGTAAATATGTATTTATTCTCCAAATCTTGGATTCGAAATGTGGAGGAATTGTACAGTCGTATTGGGCTGGAAAAGGGAGCGCAAGTTTCCGGGAATTTTCGAGCAATTTTAGAATACGTTTTTTTACAAAATGTGGGAATTTATCCGCGTTTTCTGGTGAACTCACGCTTTATAATTGTATGTAAATATTTAGCAAATCGTAAATCCTCTATTTATAGCCTTAATTATAACCCGTCTCCAAATATAGGCGGGACTAGAGACGATTTCCTAATTATTGCAGGGTCTCTAATCAATATTATAAGCTGGAAATGTCTCTTGGCAACGGAAGTGAAAGTAATTTTCCGGAACGGAAGTGAAAGTGGAGAAAGTTAAGTTTCAAATGGCGCGAAAATTCAAAAATTTTAATTTAAAACAAAATTATTTTTCATTTACAGCCACTCCCAAATAACCACACAAGATAATCTCCATCAGACAACCACTATCTGATAACCCCAGAGATAATCAATGTCTGACAACCCTCAGATTATCCATGATAACCACTCTCAGATAACAGCCAGTGCAGTGCATATCGCTGCACCAACAGTTCCGTTGGGTGTGCACATGTTTGCACTGCACAAGATTGTCGTGTCATGTCAGGCACAGTTTATGTGCACAAGTGCGCACAGCACAGGGTCTACGAGTTGTGTCACGTCGGCACTGAGACTATTATGCTGTGCGAACGATACGGCACCAGTTATGACATGAAACAACTCATCTGCGGTTGGATGTCTGCCAGTGGCTTTCTGGGAACAATTGTCTGACGATGGTTCTTTAGGGATGGTTACCCTGACTGATTACATAGTACTCATTGACTTAATAGTTATATGGGTTATCTTGGCCAATATACTTTAAAGTGGAGTTAAAGTAAAGTAAAGGCCACTATTACTTCCATTACGGCACATTTACTTTAACTTACCTTCTCAACAGATATTTCCAGCTAATAATATAGATACAATAAAGAAAATAATTCGGTGGAATTATACACAATCCCACTCAAGTTTCGTGAAAATCGATTAAGGTCTCGCCCGGCGGGAGACGGGCTTATACGCTAGTTATCTAATACGCTGTGGGTGTTAAGTTGGTACCGCCAGGTAGTGAAATTATACTGCTTGGTATTATGTTAATACTGGATTTCTAAGGCAGGGTTTAAGAACTTGACAACTTTTCTGTTACTTACACGTCCGTCCTGCCAGAGCCAGGTTTCGTCTCTATTTGTGTCCACCCAGTGGATAGGATCCGTTCCTAGGGCTGGTTTCTAAATAGAAATTGGAGAATCGGTACCCTTAATGGTAGGGTTGCCGCGGGTAACGGGTCGGGTACCCGTTACCCGCATACCCGCACGATTCTTGCGGGTACCCGTTATCTGCGGGTAGCGAGAACTACCCGCACGGGTAACGGGTAGTTCAGTTTTTATTTAATTTTCAACATAAATCAGTTCACAAAGAAAGTTAGCAGCAAGTTAGTCCATTTACCAACAAAAGCGTCAATTTATTATTTTTCCATTTCAAAATTTTTCATTTGCCAGCAAAAAACGTTTATAACGTGCGTGTCTTTACGGAAAGCACAGAGGCCTATGCCGGCCTCAAATATTTTTCACGTCCAGAAAATGCGGAGCAATTACATGTTGTTTCTCAAGCATGGTTTGCCCGCTCAAAATATCAGTAATAATTTTACTTGTATTTGTGTGTATTTATTTATGTAAGACTGCCGAGATTTTAATTTGTGCTTTGAAGATAAAAAATCTTAATCCGATTGAAGACAAAAAATTTATTTGTAGACAATTTTTTTGAATGAAAACTTCATTTAAATCAAAATTTGAAAAAATAGAAACAAAAATTGAACCTTTTTAAAGCTAAACCAAGATTACCCAGCCAGCATATATCAAAAAGTCATGCCAAAAATTAGGAATCGCGTGATACTTATGTATCTTTCCTTTGAATGGCCCCTTCGACGAATAATATTGGCGGTACAGTTTAATTTTTAAGTAAATGTTCTGTATCTTTTTCCTGGTTTCCCGCTGTCGTGGTTTTTCCGAAGTCCATGGTCGACTTTGAACTCTGCCCCCGCAATAGTTTCCTTTAAACTGTTCATTCAATGGGAAAATTAGTTCGATGTAATTCCTATTTTTTGGTTTAATTTTTTGATGAATCATAAATCTCTAAGAATACCCACATACATAGCTTGAAAAACGATCCAATTGTAAGCCAAAAAGCATGCCTTACTTGCATAGTATTATCTCAAAATACATATCAACCCAAATGAACAAATAATTGATCAAATCAAACTTATTCTCATGCTTGGTTAGTTTTTAACCCAATTCTCATAACGGGTAGCGGGTAACGGGTACCCGCACGGGTACCCGTGCGGGTACGGGTAGTTGTGCTGCGGGTAGCGGGTCGAGTAATGGGTAGCATTTTCGCTACCCGCGGCAACCCTACTTAATGGCCTCAACGTTCACCACGGTTGGACCTGCTATCAAAAAAATTGGGAGGGAAAAAAAATACAAATTTTAAAAATGCGGAAAGTACCAAAATTTACAATCAATTTGTTTTCGAACTGCATCAAAAAACAGCCATTTGTACCCGTTACGTCTAACTTATCAAATTTTCTAGGCAAGCCTAGCACCATTTCAAAAAGTAATGAACACAAAATTGTGAAAAATTTCGAACTTTAAAAATTTAGAACTTACCCGATTTTTCCTGGAATTTGTCAAATACTGGTAAGAGTTGACGGATTTCTGTCAAAAATTGTTATCAATTTTGCAACTCTTACTCGCAATTTTTAAAACGTATGAAATTTTAACAACAATTTTATATGAAAATTTCACACTCACCATTTTCCCAATCTCGAACCACTAATCTGGGATCATTCCATTGTTGTACAAGCAAAAAACTAAGGGACAAATCCTTTCCGATCAGTTGTGCAGTTACCCGGGTCAAACTGATTGTAACCCGGGTGACAATATTCTCACTTAGTGGCGACTTTACATCATAACCTGACCAATTTGCCGCCTCCCACGTGGCGCCATCGCTCGAAACGTGGATCTTAGGTCGCCACGAGTTCTGAAGATGGCCAAAAACTAGATAGATTAGCGTTAGTGACACGAATAGTTTTAGCAGGGCACGCAGAAAAGTGGGGACATCTATATCCCTTGGGGGAAGGGGGGCGTTTCGAAGCGACTGTGTCGGCGGTGGTGATTCAGATCTTGATTTTGTCAGCATGGCGAGAAAACGTTTGATTAGCTTGTAAGTCTAGGGGGAGGTTTGGGGGGTAATTAGAAATTTGGAATTTTTATGAAAACTTGAAGCAAAGGAAATTTTTTAAAAATTGAGCTGGGTTGTAAATCTAGGGTGAGTTAGAAATTTAGAATTTTTATGGAAACTGGGAACAGATGTGGAATTCTTTAAAATAGTTGAGTTTGAGTGGCTGTGCGAACAAAGAATGGGCTGGAGGAAGGGAGTAGGGTACGTTTTTACCTTTTGAAAAGTGACCCTTCTCTTTTCGTAGGGTTTCCTCCTGGGACATGCAGAGGTACAGAGGTACATACCTACCTACGTATGTATTTAGTTGGTTTAACATGCATTTCAAAATGTGGTGTTTATGCACACTCTTAGCAACTTGGTAACAAAACTAAGAATTTCGTTAACACCAACCGTCGGTGTCAACCTCAATTCCACTAAATAGTGTCAAACCGTTGTGGAAAAATGACACTGAGCAAAAAAAACTCGTTGACACGCTACTGGTATCAGCGATATTCCTGCAATGGTGTCGAATTGACACGGTGCGATGTTACCGCAGTAGCAAAAGTTGGACTTCACACCAAATTGTGTCAGTCTCTTCCTTGTGCACGGGTCTGCTTGGCGGCCATTTTCCTTCCTCCTCCACGAAAAAGTCAACAGAATGGATAAATTAATTGTTGTGTTCAATTGATTTCGATGGAAAAAATTGTTTTTTAATAAGTTTAAGGACTACTTCCAATTTCTTGACTCAGGTGAGTTAAAATCTGTAACATATTAATCTCCCCTCATTTAATTAAAATTATTTTACTATGTGTATTTTTATTTTGAAAACTTATTGTTTCCAGAAACTCAACACTGAACCCAACGAGGGAACCGACGAGTAAGGATTGGCCACCCGACAGCCTATTTAATTATTATTACATCTTTTTTGCAAAGTTAATTGAACTTAACGATTTACTCATATTTTTATCACCGTGTTAAGTACATATGTATAAGTTTTTTCTTTAAAAGTGGATAAGGTATGAAGACAAAAATATTATTTGATATGTGCGAGTGTTATAATTTGTTACTTGTGAATATGTTTGAAATACGTGATTAATTTTTTAAGTGTTTAATATTGTTGAATGTAAAATAAAATATTTGTTGCTAAAAGTTGTAGTTTAGTTTTCACAATCCGGGGACGATTTGCCACCGGGTGGTGACATGCATATATTAAAATGCACACATATCGTTACCTAGCAGTGTCGAAGCAACATAACTGAGCACAACCTCTAATCCATTCGCGGTGTTGGTGTTGTCACAACGGTATGTTGGGTTGACACCGCAACGGTGTGCAACATAATTGACACCGCGCCGTGTCAATTTGACACCAAACCGGTAGAGTCATATATAGACACCGGCATGGTGTCAATTCGGTGTCGTTTTTTCTGTGAGTGCAGTGTCAGATTTACATCCATACATTGTATGTATCTATGTATGTACACACATGCAAGGTCAGTTACACAGAGAGTTGCATTTGTTTTACTAAGGGTATTCACAATTGTCTTGGTATCCTTAGTACCTTACAATACTTGAGGAAGAAAGAATGATGGGTCGAGCTTCGTAAAAGTCGTGACCTTAGTAGCGTGATTTTTATGAAAGAAAATCTTACTTACATAGATTACAAAATCTCGCAGCCGGCGTACTTAACTTACATACTTTACGAGGAATACGAAGGAATCATGAATACCCGCAATGTTTCTTTGTGCATTTTACATACGTATACATATTTAAATAATTGGACATTGGTGCATAAACAAATGGAATGGAATTCCTGTTAGTACATAAATCTAATTTACTCCACTAATCCCAAACTATGAAAAGAGACTCAAATTCCTGAAAATACTGGTTTATTTTGTAAGGAATTGAAATCTTTCGGAAGGTAAACGGGAGGTTAATGACGAGTAAAAAAATCATAAGGATGTCGGGTTATTTATGTACCGTATCACGTATGTAAGTTACATGTTGTTAGCAATATTTATCTTTTTACACAGTTTAATGCCCTTTAAATAAAAATAAGTAAAATTTAAATAGTCAAAGTTGAGTAAGAAGGAGGAAGACACATCCTAAAGGCAATACAGATCCACCCCCTTTGCAAAATTTGTCCAATTTTGTATAATATTTGTCCAAGGGATGGATGGATAATGGTTGGATAATTTTTACCTTTTGGTTGTGCTATTCCCTTTTTTTACTCAACCTTAACTAAATTTTACTTATTTTTTGTACATATTAATCTCTCCGTACAAAATGTGTACTCGCAGCGCAGAGTCTAATTTTTCAGAAATATTCATTCAACTATGTATGTAATAAATTTGCAGGGTAAATTTGATCCACATAAATATGTACATATTTATTAAGAGGCCATGAATTTGTTATGTGATACATAGGGCTATTTTGATGCTGAAATCGTTAGCGAGTAGTTCATAATATGATCAGATCAGCTTACACTGTCCATGCAAATATAGGTACATATGTGCCAGTAAATCCAATACGTACTTTATGCACGGTACATACATACAAATCATGCAATTTATCGCGCACTAGAATATGTACGAATGTATGTATGTATATTCCCAATTCCCACAAATGTTAACGTCGGTGGTCATTGACTGCATATGTACACGATGAATGTATGCACATAGAAATTACTACAAATCATTCTGTTACACACATATGAATGTACGTATGTATGTATTTATTACTTGTACTCTCATATTCATAAGCTCATGAAAATTCTGCTGAGTTCAACTCAATGTCAAGATGAATCAAATCTTAGATAATTTACACTACTTATTTATAATATCAAAGTTCAGTTTAAGTTTAAACTTATGCCCCGCAAGAGATACTCGTGCCTCAGGTTTTCCATATTTCGCAATATATTTCGCAACTTCACGTGTCTAATAAATGGAACCTGACCGAACATCGGATGACATTTGCTTGCTTATCATACCCAATACAACTTGAGCAAGGAGGTATAAATGGAAGCGACGCAGTGACAAGAGCGAACAGTTAAATTTGTAAGAGAGTAGGAGTATAAAGTTGAATACACACTGACGAGAATATTTAGTAAGGTAAGACTCAAAGAGATATGTAAAATATTTCTAAACCTTGCTACAAAGTTTTTAATATTCAACGTAGACATTTATCGTTGCACATAGGGGTTCCAGTCCCGGGATTTTTCGGGATTTTATTCCCGGGAATTCCCGGGAAACGGGATCCCGAAATCCCGGGATTTGAAGAACTGAAATCCCGGGATTTCGGGATTTTTCAATTTGTCATTCAGAATTGAAAATTGCTTATAATTTAAAATTTTAATAGCAGTTTTAAATAATTATCGGTTATATGATTAGTAAGAAAAAGCTTCGATGATCATAACCAATCAAAATTGATCCTGAACTCGAAAATATAAATTTTAAACAATATTAGTGGCCACATTTAATGTACTCGTACGTTTATCCAAATTTCATAATTTGCAAGTAACATTTATAATACAAGATGGAAGTTAAAATTTTCTAATCTCGATGTCAGATTATAACTTGAAGGAACAAATAAACCTTATTTTCGGTATAATTATAGAATCTGAAATCAGTTATGATCAAAAATGCTAAGATGTTAGAAGTCATTTCGAATTTTAGTCGATGAATTTAAGGCTGTATGAAAGGCTTTTTGAACGTGGTAGCTCATATACATATGTACTTATTTAAACTTGAAATTTTTGAATTACCGACCTCCATGTCCAATTGAAGTTTTTCAATATTAATGTTAATGCAGGTTAGGCCAATTAATATTGATATTTGATAAACGTAAATTTATGCATTTCGGATTAACATGCTGACAAATCCTTGATTAATTATTTAAGCTTTCTGGAATGAAATTATTAAACTCTTTCTTCACACCTCTCCAAAATAGTGAATTTTAACTAAATTGGGCTTCCACAATACATCGAATTTTTAAATTTGCCATAGTAGGCAAAACAATATAATTACTAATTTGTATTGCTACAGTACATAAATATGTATGTATTTTCAAAATATTATTTTGTGTAGGCCAGAAAATAGCATACTTTAAGTATTTCTGCAGGCACAGATCCCAAAAACACAAAAGTAGGTATTATAAATAGTGCTCGGCACGAGACGAGACGAGACGAGATTGCCTTGTCTCGTCTCGTCTCGAAAGTGACTCGAGACGAAGTAATCGAGACGAGACGAGATGACGATTTTGTCATCTCGTCTCGTCTCGGTCGAGACGAGATGTCTCGACATTCATCCATGTTTTTCAAAATATCTTTTGTATTCTTCAGATAATTACAAAATACAAATACACAAACTGCAAATATTTAGAATATTAATAATTGGCCTTGTATTCCTTATATAGTAAACTACATACTAGTAGTTTACACAAAAAAATAAAGGATAAATCTTAATCGTAAGCTAGTAACGGGACGATAAAATTTTACGACGCTTCCATTGAGTCATTTCACGTCAATTTTCGTTAGTACGTAAACACGTAAACTTACTAACCTTACGAGCTTACGACAAAACGTACCAATATCTCTTGTATATGATTTTTACCCAGTAAGTCAAATTTTTGGTTCGTAAGCTGATCTTCGCAGGCTTATGAACGTAGTTACGAGCTTACGAAGGCTAACATGAAATACCTGAATGACTCGTAACCGTCATAGCTTATGTTACTACATATACATAGAATACTTGGGATATGGATACGAAGGAATCGTTACCCGCAGTATATACAATTTATAATTGGAGTTATATAGTTAGTGTCATATTTGAGTGTCTTTTACGTAAAAATCAGGATATTTGCAAACTGGTTAAAGTTTTGATCATAATTATTCGTTTTATCTATTGTCTCTAAAAAAATTTTTGAAGGATACTGCATTTCCCAAAGCTGCTCGCTCATTGCAGAAGGCTAGAGGACGGAGAATTTGCTGCTAAATTTCTGCATTTTGATGTATCGAGACGTCTCGTCTCGACCGAGATTTGTCGAGACGAGATGGCGTTGGTCTCGTCTCGATCTCGTCTCGTCCCGAAATCTTTCGAGACGAAAAAGTTGGTCTCGTCTCGTCTCGTATCTCGTCTCGTCTCGAAATTTTCGAGATAGTCTCGTCTCGCGCCGAGCACTAATTATAAATATGCTCAGTCTCGGTACTTTTGAGAGACATGTACCTTTTTGTACACCCAAATTTGACTTGACCCAAGTTATAAGGTAATATTTAAATTTCGGGAAAAATTCCCGGGATTTCCCGGGATTTTTCACGGCTAAAACCGGGATTCCCGATTCCCGGGATTTTAAAAATCGTCCGGGATTGGGATCCCTAGTTGCACACATACATACATAATTCGAAAATTTATTAAATCAATTTTACTTTTTCGCCCAGGTTTCCAGCCATGCGATCCGTCAAGACTGTGCTGATCCTGATAGTCCTGGCATTTGTATTGCTACCAATTTTGTGCGCCCAGCGTAAGCAATATGCAACTTTTCCTTTTTCTAGCTACGAACACTGGAATTTTGGATTTTTGAATATCTGACCTCCTTGACTCTAAGGAACAGGTCAAAGGTCAGATATGCAGAAATTTTGTCGCTAGGAAGAAAAGTTCTTATATTATGTCAAAGTTTTAAATTTTCTAACTGGGTACCCCTCATACTCTTTCTTGCTTTGACCCCTCAGGGGCACAGAGTTTCTGGCTCACAGTACTTATGGTACAACCATGGTGTGCATGCATAACTTTCACAATTATACGTTTGTATAAAATTTTCTTATGTTTTGGCTTTTTAGTCTTAAGCTTGGTACTCAGGACGGATTTTTCTTGTGAAAAACAAAAACGGGAGAAAGAAATTAAAGTAACATTTTGCTAATGATTTGAAGAAACACTCGCATATGGTACGGTTTGTCGTGAAATTCAAGTAATTCCACTGAGGGATTAATTTAACTAAAGCAATAAATTTTAACTTTTTAGTGACAAATCCTTCCTGAGTACTAGGCTTTAAATAGTAAAGAGATTAATGTTGCAAATATTATTATTTATAAAAAAATTACGATATTAATGTACAAATTTTAAATACTTTCTATGCAAAAAATACATAACTTCAAAATCTTTGTGTATTTTCAGAATGCAAACTTTTAGGGCTACCCGTACCACTCACGGAATGCAAAGAACAATGTGAAGTCCAGGAATATCCTCTCGCAACGTGCCCTTCTGGGATGACATGCTGCTTATTAGGCTGAAGGCAAAACCAAATATTCTGAAAGCAATTATTTAATTTGTTTCAAAAACTGAATATAAAACCAAAATTTATGAACTCTAAAAATAACATGAGATGATAAAATTGGGCAACAAGTAATTTGCATAGATACTCGCAGAATTAAAAAAAAATATTGTATGTTAAAAAGTTGACACAAATGTCGTTATATTTCTCTAAATAAAATTCAGTTTGATGTCACGTACATATTTGCATATCGTTCAAATTCGTATATTTAGTTTTCATTTAAAGATTGGTCTTCCCGATTACTGACAGCTGGGATTAAACATTAACGATTGAATAGGGTATCTATGTACAGGCTGGTTTAATTGTAAGTGCGATGCAGCAATTTATCAATGGGAAAAGCTCGCAAATCTCTATTATGTAGTTACAGGAAATGGGATTTTTACTAATTAAATTATCCAAACTGCTGGAACACTGGTGACAAAATTCTTAAACTGTTGAATTTTAAAGACAAAATTTCCGTAACTAATGGAAATTTATGAATTTTTCTCATCGAAAAATTTTCCCTTGTAGCGTGACATTTAAATCACCTAGTAAATAGTATTCTAACTTAAATTTTGTATAGGTACATACGTTTATATATTTACGGACTCACCCGTAATTCTATGGGACATGAACATTGTAAGAACTTTGTGAATAAATTATTATGTATATATTTATTATTAGCATATTACATACATCTCACGTAATAGTTATTAGCCTCTCGTGCAATTTCGCTTGATTATATTTCTAAATAGTGTTTGCGTTGGGAGTACTAAATGCTATTTGCTATCTATTCGTAGTAATACATATAAATAAATTAATACATATATAGTATGTACAGTTAATTAAATCATCATTTATCATCCATATAAATTTAATTTAATATTACATAAATATATTATACTGAAAATTATAAAGGGAATGCACGCAACGGTCACCAGTTCACATTTCTTGCATTGAATTTAAATATTCATCTATCTTACAACGCGACCCTCTCGGATCAAAGTGAGTGACGCGATCTGATTAAAGCAGAAGGTTTGAATTGTAAGCGGCGTCCCGGGGTCGATAAAATTGGAGCGGAATTTGACCTTGAGATTGGAGCAGGACTTTAGCTGTCTCCTAAACATGGCTCCCTTCTCCTTTAACCCGTTCGCCTTCCCGCTTAAATCCGTCAAAACTCTGGCAGACGCTGAGTTGACGAATGACGCCAACGTGAAGACGAGAATGTTTACGATGACGGCTTCTCCGGCGAGAAGGGGGAATACGAGAAATCCCGGCATGCCGATGTCCCCGTGATGATTTATGCACACGTAGAGCATCACCATTTGGAGGGCGGGAGATGTGATGAGCAAGGCGGGTAAAATCCGGTCCATGAGAAGAGCGTTGAAGTTCTTTTCCAAAATTTGAATATTCCGGTAGAGACTGAGTTGGTTCTGGAAATGGTTTGGAGGTTGGTCTGGACTTGGCTGAAATTAGGGAGAACAGGTTAATTCAGATTAATGTAGGCACATAGGTCCGATCCGACATTACCCGATGGGTCGGGTCGGATCGTTTTTTTAATCCGCAGGTATCACATGGATCAGATCTAAATACGATCGAATATTCTAAAATCGGATCGGGTTAGAACCTGATGCTATGATTTGCCCGGTTATCAGATTATACCGGACTACTCAGCCCCAATTACGAAACTTATTTCAGTGTGTATAAACGCTGGGTAGTCAAAGAGCACACTTGAGTCTGTCTAACTACCCGCGATATGGAACATTAAAGACAATTCTCCAGAAAATATGGGGTACTGTTAAGAACAAATTGTGTATTTATCCGGAGAATAGGCACACGCTGAAATATGCACATACCGTAAATACTCTATTTATAGCGGGGTCTTGGGCCTAAGTTTAAAAAATTGAATAAGCTTGTCTCTAATTATGGCATTCGTTTAATGCCTGTCCTTAGTTGCTATAAATTTACCCGGGTCTCTAATTATACCCGGTTTGAAATTGTAGTCAGGTTTGTGGCGTCATTAGACCCGGCTATAAATAGAGTATTTACGGTACTCTAAAATTGCTGCAGAATTTTACATTTCCAATTGCCATCAAACCAAAGAAGAATGCATTCCTTATCACCAAGCTTACTTTTCTAAGATGAAAATGTAGCTGAGGATGGACTCGATCCCTGCGAAGATGATGTAGAGGGTGTACCATCCCCCAGCGGTGAACATGTGCCACGCCATCCAGCTTTCGAAGAGGTGCAACAAGGCCACCTCAGTTTTCCCGCAGTCCTCCACGATAGACAGGAGAAACGGCGGTGTGCACGGGGCGAACGTCAAAAGTATGAATTTCAGCACAATAGTTACCACAAATGCCCCCGCAGCGAACGGGATGAAGAACCGCATCAGTTTGCAGAACATGTTAGATTTGGAAGGATCCGGGAGGTCTGAAACATTTGTAGCCAACTTTAAAATGGTGCTCCACATGATTACGAGCTTGGCTGAAGTTAAATTCATGATTTTGCCGGATTCGAATAAGAAACATAGAGATTCAGATTCGGACTCGAGATTGGCGAATTCCCCAAAAGAAAGGGTTTCAATTCAGACCCGGAAATGTGGTGAGCACTGAATAATTAGAACGAGTACGATACGATTCTAACAATTGGATCGATTATTTCTTAGGGTCATGCAAATACGAAAATATTTGTAATTTGATTCAGACTACTTAATAATAAAATTTTTAAAAAAATACAATGAATGTGGTTCCTATATACTGTCTCATTTTATCCCCGTGTCTATGAGGGTCTATTAATATCGCCACAAATGATTAAGTGCGTATATTTAATGTAAGATTGTCGGACGGTGCTGTTAATATTACCTCAAAGTCTCGAGAAATTTGATTATGGTGGTAACATTTTGAATTTTGTCACGGTCTCCGTTTTTAAGCATTTTAAGTTTTATCACCTTCATACATCCCTCATGTCAACTTACCCCGTAATATTTTCTTTTCGAAACTCAAAAAAGAATTGACAACTTGAATTGGCTCCTTATCTCCCGAATAATTCCATCGCACCACCGTTGCCATGGCGTACAACGGGAGAAAAGCGGCCCCTTGGAAACTACCCGTCAAACTTAACTCTCCAAAAAATACGTTTGCAAATTGTGCCGCCGTGTACGCCACGGAGAGGACACATTGCAGACGTACGATTTGAATATGTTTCACCCATTTTATGACATTCCCCGCTTTCGGGTCAAACTCGAAAGGAATGCATTTCAGAAATTTACAAAGGGAAAGTTCGCACTTTAGGGAGGGGATGTAGTGGATGTGATACATGGCTCTTTGTCCCACTGACTGGAAAATTATCGCATTTACGGATAATGTTTGAGCTTAAGTACACTCTAAGAAATCCAGTATTACAATTATGTATACCAAGCGATATTTACATATTTATGAATCTACCAAAGTGGCAATGACGCGTAATACCGTGTAGTAATAGCTCGGTGCTAACGTTCTAACATACATATAAGTAGCACGTTATTACGCCCGGTATAATTTTAATACCAAGCGTTAGGAAATTTAATAACGATAAATCAATACCTGCCCGACAATGCCAGATTTCTAGCAGTGTATCGATTAATTTTGGACGAAAGGAGATAATTAACCTGCAGAAATTATGTAGGTCTTTCACTTTGATCAAGATAAATAAAATTAAGTACACTCTTAAAAATAACGTTACCCTTTTGAAAAGTAAATGCACTATATACCAATATTTTACGTTAAGTGAAGTTCAGTTACAATGGAACCTTTTTTCATGCTACACCGGGATCGACTAGCGAGTTATGTCAAAAAATCAGGCCAAATATTAGGAGTCACGTGACACTTATTTTTCCGTTGAATGGCCAATTTGAAGAAAAATATTGGCGGTTAAGTTCAATTTTTGAGCAAATTTTCCCCTTGCTTTTTCCTCCATGGGGCGAAAACCAGGCACGAACTTTGACCCCCAATATTTTCTTCAAAGGCGCCATTCAACGGAAAGATAAGTGCCATGTAAGTCCTAATTTTTGGCTTGATTTTTTGACATAACTCGCTAGTCGATCCCGGTGAAGCTTGAAAAAACGTTCAATTGTTAGTTAACTATACTTAATCCAGACTAAGGTTAACTTGATCAAGAGTAAAGTTTGCTCTGGATTTAGTACAGTTTACTCAATTTAAAGTGCATTTACGTTTCAAAAGGGTAATGTTATTTTTAAGTGTGTAGCTTTAATTAAGAACATGTGGACCGTAGTTGCAAGAATTATTTATTTAGTGTTGATTCGGGAGTTAATATCACAGCCGCTTATGAGACAATGAACGGTGACAATGTAACGCAAAATTCTGTATGTATTTACATATTTCCGGTGTAAAATTTATTTGCATAAATAGGTGACAATCTGTTTGCTCTGCAATTTTGTTGTCAAGTTTGAAATAATTGCTCATCTTGTACCTAAATAATCTGACATTTGCATCTTTCCACTTTCCGCACGTGTACATGCACAACGAACAAATACTTGTTTAAGGAACTCCTGATATGAATAATTTACATATAACGGGATAGTTTAAAGTGAATGATATTTAACCCTTCAACATGATTAACAACAAAAAAATGCATTAAATCGGCGACGCTATAAGTATGTTGTGGTCATGGCGCGGGAGGACAAATTCAGGAGTTTTAATAAAACTAGAAAAACTGAAAATTTAAAAATTTAACATTACGTTGTATAGAGAAATATCAAAATTTTCGGGAAGAAAATCTTCAAATTTAGCATAGTGTTGGCATAGGAGAAATCCCTCAAAATTGCAACAAATTTTAGGTCGCGGAGAGAAAATGGTGAAAATCAATGACCTCCTAGAAACGACAATTGTCTTCCTTCAGCTCCATTTACTGTTTACTGTTTACTGAAGTTTATTAAAATGTCGCAAATCATCAGAAACAATTTTTGGGGACGACTTTTGTCTTACTCCCGAATTAAACCATTTCTTATAAAACGACAATTGTCGTCGTTACAGTTTAAAAGGTTAAGTATATTGCTGTGTTAAATTCTGGAAAATATTCCAACCCTCTAGTCTCACTTGTAACTTTTATTTTAGAGCAAGAATTATATGATTCGACAATGACAATTTTTAAGGTATACTTTCAGTATATAAGTCACACTGGTCGAAAAACGTTGTTGAGAC